ACCTAAGCTGTTCCTGCTAATAATAACACTGAAGCAATTTCCTCCTACACCGCATGCTAGGGTTCAGAAATGGGGAGTCACAAGGGTTTTGCACCCTGATCTCATTCCCTCTTGCACTCATGGTTAAATTGGCTCGGAGTTGGCAACGTGATGCACTGTATGGCTCTGTTAGGATTTTACTGTGGTGGTGATAAACTGTGATTAATGGATGACATTTTCCTTCTTCTTGGCTTAGTGTAGATCATTGAATGTTGAATCTTGTAGCTGGACATCTGAAGTCATAAAAGTTTAACGGCGCAGTTTGGTACCCTCTTCAGAAAGGGTCAAACTGCAGCATGGCCATGGGTGCTATCAAAAGAGCCAGCTTGGCTTTTTGGAGTCACTAAATGGGGGTAAAATGCTGCCACCTGGAACATCTCAGATGCTTCTGTGCCCTCTCGTGGCAGCTGTCCCTGCGAAAGGGACTTAACCCCCACCCACACAGACGTGGGAATGCTCCTGAGTAGGAAGTGTCCCTGGAAAGTCACTGAAGGACTAAGGAAATGCTGTGCTCAAGTGGAGCACCTCTCAAAACACCATCTAGGACTCTACACTGTGATTTCCAGCAGTTGCCCTCAGCTTGTCAGCGCTGCCCTGGGCACTGCTGTGTTTAACCGCCCTTGGGCTGCAATGTCTCCACTTGGAGTTCAGCCAGCATCGTTTCTTTGTACCTGTGTGATGCCTTCTTCGAATCCTTTAATGACTTCTTGCCTGCCAATCTTGAACCGGAAGGGCTTGTTTCGGTCTCTGGAGGAATCAAACTTCTTCCCATTCTGTAGCATCCCTGCCAAAACAACATACAGAGCTTCAGTCCCAGCTACATCTGAATTTAAGGGCTTAGGGGGTGAAAGGAGGGGAAAAAGTAACACCTTGGTCACATGAGCTGCTCATTTCCATTTTCACTTTGAAGCATAGTCCAAAACTGCTAAGACAGGGAGTCAAAAACAGTGACACTAAATTACTACCTTTGCCTTCCTGTAATTCAGGCTCGAAAAATAGAAGAAACAGAAATCTATTCTCCTTGTTAATCTCGCCACAGCAGGTTGGAAATCACATCCTGCCAAACGTTGTACAAAGATCCAGGAAAAGCTGTTCCTCACCCAGCGGAGCTTCCAGGCTAAGGAGATGGAAGCAGGTGAAGAGCAAGCGGGAAGCACCTCAGGAGGAGCTGCAGAGAAAAGTGTGTTTGCAGAAAACCTTGGGAAAGGAATTACAGAATGATCTGACTCTTAGGTGTATTTTTTCACACCCTTCACCACTGGTGGTTGTCATGCTCCTGAAGCGGCTTCCAGCAACAGCGTTTCCTGCAGGCTCACGTGCCAGCGCACACGCACACCCTTCACCACTGGTGGTTGTCATACTCAGCGTTTCCTGCAGGCTCACGTGCAAGCGCACACACTCCACACAAATATTATGCTCCACACAAATATTATGCACCGTATCTGCTCAGTGGTAACGCCGAGCTCCCCGCTGCAGCCTGGGCACTCAGAGCAGCTGCCTGGACCAGGCTTGTGAGTTACAAACAAATGAGGTTTCACTTGGACTGCAAAAAATAGCACCCATATGGAGGGGGCAGGAAGGGAGCAGCAGCTCGGGGGAACTCTCTGGCATAGCATGTAATCCTTTCTGAAGTATCTGATCATAAATGACACTCCTTTCTTGGAGGAATTTTATTTTTTAAACATATTATAAAATCTCATGTTTCTCTGGGACAGCAGAAGATTATTCTAGAATCACCGAATTTAATAGTTTTAATATTAAAACTTAGTACTGCCATTACACCCTGCATATTCCAGGCATTATGCAAACATTACTTATGCTCCTAAGCAGCCAAGGAGATATTTATTATAAAATAGCCTGGTTTGGGAAGTTCAGAGTCAATAAAAAGTGACACTCTAGTGGCATTTTTAGTATGTTTTCATTTTGTTTGGTAGCCCTATCCATTTAAAGATTTGCTGGCTTGCTAAATCCATCCACCACAGCTAATAGTGTTTCCCACTTAAAATCATGTTTCTACTGTGGACTTGCTGGTCTTACTCGCAGCACACGAAGCTCTCCTTTTACCATCTACAAAAGATGCGTCAGGCCTTGGGAGAAAATAAACAGGCTTGTTCTCCTATGTTTAGAATAACATCCTATTTTCTAGCAATGACCACGAAGGGAGGACTGCAGAAATGTAACCTCGCCTATCACCACCCCATCGTTCTGCTTCCAGGGACAACCTGAGATTTAACCAGTCAGATGTGCTAATATTTGCTGAAGCTCTGTCAGGAGATGTGATTTTTATATGACTGCCCTTTCCGTGTGCATCTAGTTTAGCAACAAGTAGGAGTGTCCGCGTGTCCTGCAGAAGTTCCGATCTGGATTTAGAGCTGAACTTTGGAGCCGATCTTTGTTATCTCTTTCTGAAAGTTTGAGTTGACTCTTCCATCTCCTGGGAGCTAGAACAACATAGTGTTTTGTTTTCTCTCTTGCTAATGCATCATATTGATTTTCTTTTTGTGAAAGAATTGATTGGGTTGATGTTCTCCAGCGAGGATGGATGCCCATCTCCAGCCTCCTAGCACCTCTATTTATCCAGCTAACAACACAGAGGAAGGAAAAGCCAGTCTGGAGCCGAGCAATGATGCTGCTTTGCAAAGTCAAAACCCTCCTGGCAATCAACGAGAGTTTTGACCCAGTGAGGACTTTTAGATGCTTGTATCCTTCCTTGATGCAATAATCTCATATTCAATTCTGAAAAGTAGCAATCGTTGTATCAAAATAATCATACAAAGGAAGTTGTCAGAATACTGCAGTTTTGAAAGTGTTCCGATCAACCACTTGTCCTTAGGTGTTAGGTGATAAAAAGCGGCTGGAGAGAAGGACATCTTTCACATCACCAGGC